AGACAACAACAACAACAATATATATACTTATCTTTGAACATATACTTATATCTGAATCCCCTTATGCAAAATGAGGACAATAATAACTCCATTGCAGGCTGTTTTAAGGGCTGCGTGAAATAACGTCTAATGGAGTGCTTATAGAAGGCACAAGATAAATACCCATTCTCCTCCCTTCTAGATGGGGCACGATATTTATGGAACTTGTTTTTGGCTATTTTAAAGATCTCATATGCCTCTGCAGACTAAATTATTATAAATGCACATTGATACTGGGATGTGCTAGACAACTAGCTGGATGAGGTAGAAAATCCCCAAAGTTAACTCACGGGCTTTGGAATTGGACACACCTGGTTCCCGTTTTAGCACTTCGCACAATGCCTACCAAGTAGTAGCGTAGCAAAATAGTAAACAATAGAGCTCGTTGTTGATTCTGTTTGACAGCACACGTGCTCAACATGGACCTAAAAAAGAGACCTTCTGAACCAGACCCATTGCCATCGAGTCGATTCCAACTCAAAGCAACCCTACAGGACAGAGTAGAACTGCCCTCTAGGGTTTCCAAGGAATGGCTGATGGACTCAAACCACCAACCTTCTGGCTAGCAGACAGGCTCTTAACCACTGCACCACCAGGGCTCCCTGTCTTAGCAGATGGAAATGCCAGCAACAGAAGAGAACGTCATGAGGTCCAAGAGTCAAAAGAGGTGACCGATGAGCCGAAGCACAGGAGGCCAATCTACGCAGCATCTCACTGCCCAGGTGGGAAGGAAGAAATTCATGGCGCCTGAACGGCAAGGAAGCGTTGTGCAGTTTAAATGTGCAACCCTCCGTGGTTGCCTCAGTTCCGTCCACATCCATGTGATACTCCAGCAGATTAAGATTTTTCCATAATTTGGAAACACTAAATTTCCGCAGTTAAAAAAACCGGAGCGTAGGAGTATTAGGTGACCTCTTAGGCATTCCCCAACTCTGACATTTTACGTCTCTAAAAGGGAACGGTCGCGCTGTTGAAAAAATTTAGGTTAGCCAGCAGAGGGCACTGCATCACCGTCCTTGAAAACTCTGCCTCCCTGATGGCGTTGCTAAAACTTTGTCTTGGCGACGAAGAAAAAGGGTATATTTCAACGTGTCCTTTGACTCTTTTATGCAAGCTCTTGAATCTTAAGCTAAAGCGCATTTTAGTAAAACAAAAATGAAGTCGCTCAGGGCAAGATTAAGACTTTGATTAGATAATTTGCTCAATTTTGAAACAGCTAAAAAAGAATTCCTCAAATTTAAAAAGCTCAAAAACACTCCTGGCTTAAGGGTTTCTTCTGTTCTCAGTAACTGGTGTAAAGCAACGTGTGATTGATACATTTCTTTATTAGCTCTTTCCCTGATGATGTGACAACTCTTCCCAAAGTTCGCAGTGAGGGCAAAGCATTGGAGTTTGGGGAGGCCGTCAGCGCAAGGTAAACAATTATCCTTGGAATCCAACCGAAATATTGCACCGAGGGATTCCACTCTTTCCATGTACCTGAATCACTAGCTCTAACTGCAAACATTCTAACTTTAGAGATTGTTTTTTCTAACCCAGAAAAAAAAAACAGACATAGCTATTCTATTCTAAAGAAGCAAATGTTACTAAACATTATTTTCCAGTCTCATGGGGAAATTGACAGATACTTCTTTAATAACAACAGGACTTTCATTTTACAGAACTTCACACTTTTCAGTTCATGTTCACCATCTTAAAGTCCCTCATTTTACAAGTGAAGTTAACTGATGTAATAGCTAAGGGTGCCTCTAAACTAGATTGCCTGGGTCCTAATCCCAGCTTTAACACTTTCTAGCAGTTCCATTCTGGGCAAGTGAGTCACCTCTTTCTGCCTTGCTAAGAGGATTGCGGTGAGAATATAAGTAGCTAAAACACCCAGTGCTCAATAGACAATATAATAGCTGACATGTCCTGGGCGTCCACTCTGCGGGGGGCGCTGTTCTAAATGCTTAATAGGTCTTAACTCAATGGACGCACCCGACTTATTCTGTGGTTGATGCTACCATTATCCTATTCTGCAGATGAGAAAACTGAGGCATGGGAAGGCTAAGTCATTCCTCCTACTGCTTTAGGTTAGCTAGCAGAGCTGTTATTGTTAAATCCAACATGGCCTGCAATAGACTCATCTGACAGAATCCTGGTTTCGGAATGAGAAGAAACTTCTTCACCACCTGCTCCCTGCACTCTCAGGCGTGAGGCCACCAGAAGTGGGAGAAGGATCTCAGAGCCTTAGGGTAGTGACTTCATCCCTGGGGACAACCATGTCTTGAGCTCCTTCCACATGCTTGCTGAGTTTGGCCTGAGCTGGCTGCCCAAACTCCTTCAGTGCTGCAAGATCCCACACAAAGCTGCACTAGGTCCCCCGACAGAAGCACGGTCAGGTGAGCCGTGATGTGCAGACCGCACATGTTTGCAAATGCCGGGAGGCAGGAGGCCTCTGAAATAGTTGTTAAGAGCTCCACTGCTAACCGAGAGGTTGGCAGTTCGAATCCACCAAGCGCTCCTTGGAAACTCTATGGGGCAGTTCTACTTCCTCTGTCCTCTAGGGTTGCTATGAGTTGGAATCAACTCAATGGCAATGGGTTTTGTTTTGTTGGGGAGGCAGGCGGCTTCTGAAATTCTTTCCTTAAGATAAGGCTGAGGAAACAAACCCCGTTTAGTGACAGCATTTTCTATTTTCCAGGTCTTTTATTACCCTCTGTGCTGGTTAATTTTATGTGTCAACTCGGTTAAGCTATGGTGCCTAGATGTTTGGTCAAACTCTAGTCTAGATGTTGCTGTGAAGATATTTTGTAGATGTGATTAACACTGAAATCAGCTGACTCTCAGTAAAGGCGATTACCCTGGAGAATATGGGTGGGTCTTATCTAATCAGCTGAAGGCCTTAACAGAAAAACAGGTTTCTTAGAGAGAAGGACTTCTGCCTCATGACTATAACATAGATATCCTGCCAGAGTTTCTGGCTTGCCACTTGACCTACCAATTTTGTACACAAGACTGCTGGAGTTTCCACTCTGCCTCCTGACCTATGGAGTTTTGACTTGCCAGCCCCCAGAATCACATGAGCCAATTCCTTAAAATCTGTGTGTGTGTGTGTGTGTGTGTGTGTGTGTGTGTGTGTGTGTCCTACTGGTTCTGTTTATCTGGAGATCCTAATACAACCTCCAAGTTAGTTCTGGGAGGAAAAGTCAGAGGCTCCAAGGTTATCATGGCCCCATGATAGATCGTCCTTACCCCCAAGCGTCTCATCCTTGCTCTGATAGGTTCGGTACAGCAGCACGATTTCGATCCAGTACGTGTAGAGGAGAGCACTCACCAGCAGCATGCCCGCCAGGGTCATGATGGTGCCAAGCAGTATGTATATGAAAACCACTGGGAAGAAAATGTAGCAGCAATGAACAAAGGCAGAGAAAGATGAGCAAACCTAGAGAAAGCATTCCCGCATTTGGACGGGATCACATGCAGGCCAAGGCTGTGGGCCGACCCAAAGCCTTTTCCATCTCTGTTATTTCTCTGTTATTTTCTCAAAATTACTGCTGTCGGTAGCATTCCTTCTGAATCTGGGAATGTCTCAAATCACGTCTTGAGGGAACTATCTTATAATAAACTCCAAGAACCCAGGGGAAGGCATTTACTAGATCTAGGTCGCCTGGGAACCTGATTGTAGCGGTTTTTATTTTTTATTTTTCCCCCGTCAACCTTCACATCATCCATTTGTATCCCTCTCATTATATATTGTAAATTATTTTCATTTATCTGCCAGGTGTTCTGCTCTGTTGTACATATAGGGTCACTATGAGTTGGAACCAACTCATCTAACAGCACAACTGAAGTCTACGGAGCGACACCTGGCTTACCTTCACAGCCTCCACGGTGTCTAACACAGGACCCTGTACACAGCTCACCTCCTCCAGGCCAGGCACACACATGGATTTATTTAAGCCTAACATTCAAAACCTGCTTGTTTTAGATCTATGAGTGGAATGAATCTATTCAATCTATTAGTTGAATGAATGAGTGAATGAACAAATGAATGATGTGAACTTCGTCTCTAAGCACCTTCTTGATGAAGTTTAAAGACTATTCCTTCCAAGGAAAATAAAAAGTTTGGAGTAGAATTTTCACTCTAGCTTTAACATACTGCAGTCTCTGATGTACATATGTCACTCTGAACGCTGAGTGAGATGCAGTCTCTGATGTACATATGTCACTCTGAACGCTGAGTGAGATCACTGTTTCCTGCAGTCTCTCATACCTGACCATCATGTCCTAGGATTCAGAGGCCGGGAAAGAAAAACAGGAAAGGGAGCCAGGTCCTAGTACAGTGCCTCCCACACAGGACATACCCGATAGGTATTTGTAGAATGAATGAATGGTTTTCAAACAGTTCCACATACACAGTGTACTAGTTACGAGGACTAGCTCTGGATTAGTGATATGCAACTTACTGGCTGTGTAGCTTTAGTCAAGGTGTTAACTTCTCTATGTCTCAGTTTCCTTACCCATAAGACAGAGATAATAGTGCTTACATAGTAGGGATGTTGAGAGGATGAAATGCGTTAATATGAGCAAAGTGCTTAGAACAGTGTCTGGCACCTAGTCAGTGTTAATTGTTATCATCATCATTGTTATTATTCTCCTTTAGAAAAATTCCTCTCCTTTCAACAAAAGCAATCGCGTCCATTCTGGACAACTTTCCTGGCTTACCTCCTTTCTTTTTTTTCAGTTGGATGGACCGGGTAGTACTTCCGACTGAGTTCTTGGCAAAGCAAATGAACTTCCTTTGAAGATCCCTCTGAGTAACTTCTTTCAGAGAGAGAATATGCTGAATGACTCCATCCTTCAACATGGATGTACTACTAGGAAAGGAAAAAAAAAAAAGCCAAGCCCATTCAGTAAAATAAATTAATACTTCTTTTCCATTTTTGAAACTCATGTAACTGGGCAACCATTTGGATATCAGAAAATTGTTACCTGTAAGATCAAATAGTATAAAGAGATGCCAGAAGTTAAGGTGGTCAAAGAGAAGGTTCATTCTTGCTTGAATTATTGAATCTGCTAAGAACTGTTGAAAAGCAAAGATGTCACTTTGAGGACTAAGGTGCACCTGACCCAAGCCATGGAATTTTCGGTTGTCTCCTATGTATGTGAAAGCTGGACAATGAATAAAGAAAACAGAGGGAGAATTGATGCCTTTGAATCATGGTGTTGGTGAGGAATATTGACTATACCATGGAATGTCAGAAGAATGAACAAATCTATCTTGGAGGAAGTACAGCCAGAGTTCTCCTTAGAAGTGATGATAGTGAGACTCCTCTCACATACTTTGGACATGTTATCAGGAGGGACCAGTTCCTGGAGAAGACATTATGTTTGGTAAAGTAAAGGGTCAGCGAAAAAGAGAAAGATCCTCAACAAGATGGATTGACATAGTGGCCGCAGCAATGGACTCAAGCATAACAACAATTGTGAGGGAGGCGCAGGACTTGGCAGTGTTTCGTTCTGTTGTAAGTAGGGTTGCTATGAGTCAGAACCTACTCAATGGCACCTAACGACTACAACAAGAATAATTCTATGTAGAAGGAGGCAGTCTGAGGGCAGCCTGTAACCCACGAATGAACCTTGTACTTGGGACTGGATGTATTACCTTGACTTCCTGGATGGGATGAGCGTTGGCTGACTCCCTTCCCAAACGTATTCCGATCCAGAACACAACCCATAGCAGCTGATGGACTATCAACAAATCCCTGAGCGCATGTCAACATTTCCAGGAACTGTTTAAGTAAACATGCCCATTATGCTGCACTCCATCTCTGTATCTGCTCCCGGTGGGAAGTAATGAGAGTAATGAGGTCCTTCCACTGCAACATGAGGGGGGTATGTGCAGACCACCAGTCTTGCATTAGCTGTGGGGAGTGACCCACTGACCATGGGGGACCAGCATCCGCTATTGAAGCTGACCTCGCTCTGTCTGTGTGAGGAAAGCTTTGGTCCACTCAGTGCCTATGTTAAGCTGTGTCATTCTTGGCAACCCCGGACCTTGACTTGATATTCTACGTGTTTATACTAAGACATAACTTACTTGTGGACATCACGGGACCTCCTTTGCCCTAAAAATTCCCCTTGAGAACAGACAACAACAATAATTTAGAAATAATATTAAAAATAACTTTACTGAGGATGTACCAGGTATGTATCAGACACTCTTCAAAGCAGTGAATGTGAGCTATTGAATCTCCTCTATTCTTACTTCACAGAAACCCTACATGGTAATAGGACGATCATCCTAACTTGGCCAGCAATGCAGCTGGGGTACAGAAAGTGAGCAAGAAGCCCAGAGTCACACAGCTGGGAGGTGGCAGTCTGATTCCTGTGCCATTTTGCTCCCTCCGAGAAGTTGTGAGTCTCTGCATTTATTCACAGCTCGGATTCTCTCAAGCTGCTGTCTACAGTCAGCCTTCACGTTAAGGAATCTGTTTATGTAGATAATGTTTCAGGCTCTGTTGCTCTGAGGTGCATTGCCGTGTCTACGATAAACCAAAAACCAAACCCATTGCCATCAAGTCAAATTCCAATTCATAGCAACCCTGTGGGACAGAGTAGAATTGCCCCATAGGGGTTCCAAAGAGCAGCTGGTGAATTCGGACTGCTGACCTTTTGGTTAGCAGCCAAGCTCTTAACCACCGTGCCACCAGGGTTCCAAACCAATACCTGTTGCCATCGAGTCGATTCTGACTCATAGCGACCCTAAAGGACAGAGTAGAACGACCTCATGGGGTTTCCAAGGAGTGGCTGGTGGATTCTAACTGCCAACCTTTTGGTTAGTAGCCGAGCTCTTAACTATTGCACCCCCAGGGCTCCAGGTCTACAATACCAGCTTCTATTCATTGGCTGCTCTACATATCAGGGACTGTGATAGCATGCCACTTATCCTGTATTCACCTGGCCTTGCAAGGTGTCCATTTTTATCCACAGATACAGATGTGGCAATGGAGGCTCATAGCAGTTAAGGGTCACATTGTTAATTGGTGGAAAACAGATTCAAAGCCAGGGCTATGTGATGGCAAACGATACTCTCCTTGCCACACTTGACCACTTTGAACTTGAATGTGGTATCAACTTAATATGAGACCCAATGACTTCCCTGCCTTAGAAATTCTTGCCAAATTTTATTGCTATTTCCAAAATCTGTTTAGTTTTTGCAGTAATATGGAGTTATTAAACTAATTTTACATTCTTTCAGTGAATTTTTTTTTTTTTTAATATCAGAAGGAAGTCTTTAATGCATAGTCTCTTACTTGGGGACAGAACCTCAGAAAAATAAGAAAATGTATCCTTTAGCGGAGCCCTGGTGGTACATTGGTTAAGAGCTTGGCTGCTAACCAAAGGTCGGCAGTTCAAATCTACCAGCCGCTACTTGAACCCTTATGGGGAAGTTCAGCTCTGTTCTATAGGGTTGGTTTGAGTCAGCATCGACTCGACGACAATGGTGTTTTTTGGATCCTTTAGCAACGTGCCTGACAGATTGGATTCAAACCCTTTGTTCCTTTCAGGGACAGAAGTCCAGCTTTGTGAGGTGTTGTGTAGCTTCAAACGTCTAGACTTTTTATTTCTATTGAACCAAAATCTCTCCCCAGTAAATTCTGCCCATTGGATTAGGTTCTGTGCTCTGGAGAGAAACAAGCGTAAGTCCACTTTCTCATAAAGCATGATAACCAAGACCCAAAAAACCAAACCCATTGCCGCCAAGTCGATTCGGATAGCTCCCAAATATTTCAAGACAGCTATCCCACCTGTAGTCTCCTCTTTGCCAAGAGAGTTGCTTTAACTCTTCCTCACTTTCACACACACACACACACACATATATATATTTTTGTCAGACTCCATACTATTGTGCCACTTCGTCTGGATACTTACCAGACTGTCAACGACCGTAAAAATTTGGATTCCTGAATTCACCAGACACTCTGAATGGTGTGACATCAGCTAAAATAGGGCGTGAGATGGGCAGCGTTTTCTCCCCTGGGCTGCACGCACTACCTCTATGTAAGTAGGCTGGGTTAGTATGTTTATCTGCTTGTTCGCTTGAATTTTAAGGCAGCCACATCAAACTGTTGCTTCAAACTGAGCTTTAAAATAACTTAAGTAGTTCATTCCATGGCCTGATGAGAAGCTGCACTTGGTCTCCGTATTTAAAATTAACATGCGCTCTGCGTTTCTGGCCTTTTATTTTCAACATTGGTTGGTGCTGGAGGTTACACCATTACCCCGGTGTGTGTATTTTAGAGGTTTCTAAAGGTGAAAACACTTAGCATGGCTTTTAAAGAGTAGAATCACTCTTTTTTCTTCTTACCTGTTCCCCTCAGGTGCAGGAACTTCCTGTCTCTGGTCTGTGTCTTTAATGTACCATCTCACCACTGGTTTGAGGTCCTTTTCGAAGCCAAATCGTACTTTGCAGTTAAGAGTTAAGGGTTTTCCTGAAAATCAAGAGGCCAGAGAAAAGAGAAAGGGCAAACATGAGAATGTGTCGTCCCGTGTGAAGGCGGAGCACGTGACCTGGACGCTGTGCTCCCCGATGCGGTCAGGCTTGCAGGTGAACCAGGCGTGCCAGAACAACCCTATTGCCACATGTGTCCCATTTAGAAAGAAAGAAAACCAGGTGTGTTTGCCTTTAATGGGCAATGGTTATATCTCAAACATGCAACTATATGTTCTTAAAGTGAAGATTAACAAAATCATGTCACCAAGGCGTCTGACGTGGTTTGAGAGCAGAAACCCATGGCCGTCGAGTCGATTCTTATTCATGGCAATCCCACACGTGTCAGGGGAGAGCTGTGCTTCATGGCTGATGTGTTTAGAAGTAGATTGCCAAGCCTTTCTTCAGAGGCACCTCCGGGTGGACTCAAACTTCCAACCTTTCAGTTAGTAGCCGAGCACATTAACCATTTGCACCACCCGGAAACCCTGGTTTGAAGGTACCCGCTAAAACCCATTGCTGTTGAGCAGATTCTGACTCATACCGACCCTACAGGACAGAGTAGAACTGCCACGTAGGGTTTCCAAGGCTGTAATCTTTACAGAAGCAGACTGCCACATCTCTTTTCCACAGAGCAGCTGGTGGGTTTGAACCACCGACCTTTCCATTTGCAGCTAAGCTCTTGAACCACCCCCACCAGGGCTCCTTGGTTTGAAGGTAGCCGCAGGGAAATGGAGGAGTTTGAGTGTGCAGCCCTGTCTCCAACACCGCTGTAGAAGTACAAGGTGTGTCAATAAAGAACATTTAATAACCATTATGTTTATATTAAATGAAAATCCTGAGGTTACCGTAACATGTAATTTAAAGAATTTATTTAGGTGTGCAGCTGATGTTTTTTAGAATGATGCCTTGTAGATGGACATGCATATAATCACACCACCCTCTTTCCAGTCATTTTCTCTGTAAGTGGTATCCAGATACACTCTCTCTCAAACTCGATATTTAATCAGAAAATGGGTAGGGACTCCACTTGAAAACTAATCTTTGCACCTTAATAGTTTCTTCCTCTAGTAATACCATAAAAATCACTACTACCATATGTAACTTAGCTATTTGTCATTAATTTATTTTCTCCCTTTTCCTTCATTTCTTGTGACGTTGCCCGTAATGCCATTCCTATTTCTAGAATCAGTATACGCCGCTATTATCACCTGCTAGTCCTCTACCATGGTATCTATTTTTACATTTCTTTCTATAACTATGAATATTTTATGAGCATTTAAAAGTACACTAATTTTATTGGAACCAACAATTTGGTTTTAGATAGAACAATGTTATTTAGAAGTGTAGGAAGACATAGATAATACTGAAGTTGACAAAATGAAAGGAGAACAGAGAAAAGTTAACTTTTCCCCTCTACACGGAAGTAGACACTATTTTGGAATACACATTGTGACCAGAGATTATAGTATGCCACTCTACTTCCCTTACAGGTCAGACGAAACATCATCTTCATAGGGGTTAGCGCTACTCAAGTTGGTAAATGTGTAGACCTAACCAATGGACCTTACAATATACATAATCACTTATTCCTAGGGGAATAAATCTATCAATCATGTCCAATATGCCACTTACCATATATTATCACATTACTTAACACATACTGTCCCATTACGTCTCAATGCAACCCTGTGAGGACAGCTTTATTATGTCTAATTTCAGATTTGAAAAACTGAGTCTTAACTAACAGTGCAAGGTCACAAAGCTAGTCCAGTTCTGTTTGACCAGAAAGCCCAACTCTCTTTTCTTTATATCACACTTGGACCTCATCCCAGAAGCTCAATATCATTCAAGGTCAACGATGCATTCCAGCTTACCAAGTTCTACTTCGAGTGTGTCCTTGTCGGGTTCCAAAATATCTGGCTTGAAATTAGTGTTTTTCACTAAAATATAAAAATAAAGTTGTTATTTGTATTGGGAAATCTGAAGACCCTGCTCGCTGAAGATTTGGGTGCTTGGCTACACTTTGACCCAAATGTTTTGGAGTTACCTTTTTTATATCTTGTCCATAATCTATAAGGCTAAAACCTCAAGTTTCCATGTCAAAAGTGTGCCTCCATAATTGATTGTTACATCAGGTTTTGGGTGCCAGTAAAGGATTGGTCTATCATCAATCCATTTCTACCTGGGTGAATTATTTTCCACATCAACCCTGCTCACCAGCTTCAGACGTGAGCCCCCATCCCTGCCTTCTCTTTCAAGATTTCTTTTTGGCACACCTGGAACCCACCTGAGAAAAATGGCACAACTCCACAAGACCTGGTTTTCCCTCTCTATCTCCAAACTCATGGTTTGTTTCAAAGTAAAGAAGACTCCAACCTTTAATCTAGTCATATATCCATCAACTTCCTGCTACAAACTTTCAAATTTACCTCCACTGTCAAACTTCCTCCTGAAGATGTCCCATTTTCTGTGAAGGGAAAATTCATCACCTTTGCTGTAAACATTGTCCACTCTTACTTCTTAGGGACTTTAGCCCCTTGATTATACCCTCTCTCTCCTGTATCATTTACTTCTATGGGTTTCTTCCCAGCAACATTTACACATGCTCTACATTTAAAAAAAAAAAATGAACAAACGTCCATCTCACATCTCTGCCTTACAGATTCTCCTTCCTTCACAGCTAAATTCTTGAAAGAGTTCTATACGTTCACTTTCTCCAGTCCCTCACCTCAGATGGAGTGTGATTTCTGCCCCCAACACTACACTGAAATTGCTTTGCCCGAAGTCACCAGTAACCTCCTTGAAGCTAAATCCACTGAGCACAAGTAAGTTTTTAATCTCCTTGACTTCTGGATAGCATTGGAAACTGCTGGCCATGCCCCCTTTGAAATCCTCTCTCCTTTTGGGTTCCTTGTCGCTGTACTTTCTTGCTCACCTTCAATGTCTATGTTCAGTTCTTCTCAATGGTCTTGTGGGTAATTCTTCCACTGTGCCTCTTTTGACTATCAGGACTCTTCTTCCCAGACCTACCCTAGTGTTCTTCTCACTCTACATACTCTCATGGGGTAGTCCAATTCACTCACTAGGCCTCTTCCCTACTAAAGGTCTTGACCCTCGAAATTATTTCTCACCTGCATCATCAATCTCACTTCCTTTACTGCTTCCTCTCCTTGACACTCTTCCACTGACAACTGCTTGCTGATGTAAACAATGACTCCTTGCCACATTCGATGATCAAGTCTCAAGTCTCATCATTCTGAGGTGGTGCATCATTGCCTCCGTCTTGAGGTGCTTTATTCACTGTACCCTTCGGGCAGTTTTCCTCTGTTCCCACACCGCTGTCTCCTTGGGATATCCTCCTCCTCTTCTCAACCTTTCTAAGTGTTACAAGTCTTCAGGGCTCAGTTCTAAGCCCTCTCCTCTCTAGGATTAATTACTCTCTAGGTGATTCCGCTCCTTGGCTTTAAATATAATAGAAAAGCCAACCACTCTCACATTAACATACCCACTCCTAACGTCTCCAGACTTGTTTATTCACATACTTACTTGTCATTGTGACTTGGATAACTTACAAGTCTTTTCAAGACTCATACCTTATTTTCTCCCTCCCTCAGACCCTCTTCTTCAGTCCCTCTTGTCTCATTAAATGGTGCCACCATTTACCAACTTATCCAGGCCAGAAAACTAAGACATCCTTGATGTCTCCCTTTCTTTTTCATCTACATAAATTCCATCATCATGTTCTGTTGAGTCACACATCCCGCTGTTTCTCTTAACTTCTGCTAAGTCAATTCACAGAGTAACTAGAGTCACTGTTTGAGAACATGATGGGCTGAGTCATACCTGAGAAGAACAACCATGCATTACTTGAAGAGGGAAAGTGGTACGAGTGGGCATTCACATTCTCACTTCTCTTTCAAAGAACAATCTAGTATAAACCGAAGTGACTGCTGTTCTAAGTGGTGGAAAGTAAAAAGACCAGAAGGTGGGCAGGAATATTTAACTTGGCCTTAGGGTGCTCCACGTGGTTTCTATTTTGCAGTAAAAGAAGAGAAGGTAAAGTTGATGAACGTATTTGCTTTTATCAAAGTAAACCATTCTGTGGCTCTTTAACACATAACCTGAATGACCGACTCTGTTATGTTTTGACTCAATAGGCTTTGCTTAAACTAATTACATCATGTAGTTTTATTCATGCCGGTACTTGTAAGCATAGTAAAAACAAACCAAGGGAAAGGCTGGGGCAAAAACAGGTGAATCACTGACGAAGGAACACAGTGGGCTAATATAACAAGGTGTTCAACCTAGTCAGGAATCAGGGAAGAAAAAGAAATCATGCTTGCTATCAATCAAACAATCTGATGGCACAAAATATTATTTGGATAATGGGAATCTGTTCGTTGCTGATGGGGGGCATAAATTGACAAAATGATACTTTAGTACGGTATCGTGTGCTTAAAATTTTATAACACAAAGCAATATTGTCCATTATTAGTGGGTACATGCATATGTAGAAAAGGCGTAAAAACATAAATGGAAATCATATAAACCAATTACAAAATCATGACTATACCTGGGCAGAGAAGAGGTAGGAGGTAATGGGGCATAGTCCTCAAGCTCTATCTATAGTCTTTTTTTTTAAAGTAAAAAGAATGAGATTTTAAGCATATGTAAAAATAGTAAAACATTTTAAAGCTGATTGATAAGTGTCATTTATTGTTTCTGTGTGAAATATTTAATACTTAAAAAAAAATAATTACAGAAACAAACCAGGGGCCGAGGCAGGGAAAACCCCAGGTTTTAATTGTGAACATAGTCCAGAATTGCGCTTCCTCAGTAGATGAAGCCTGGGTCGATGGGGAAATTGATGCTTGGCCAGATTGAAGGCTTTACTTGACTCTACCTGTATGACTATCCTTTTTTTCCTGAAAGAAAAAATCCTATGCCCAAAGGAAGAAAATGTTCATATCTCAAATCATGAAATGAAAATCTCACTTACCAATGGTTTCTACTTGAACAACGGCTCTGACAATCCACGAACTCGTGTTATACGACTGATTGTAATCGCATACGTATGTGCCCCTGTGATAGTTATAAACTTCACCGATTCGTAATGGGTTGCCTCTTTTTTCAGAGAGTAGTTTTCCATTCTAATCCAGAAAAGAAGAGTAAATGGCATTTTTTAACCAGAGAACGTTTATTAATATTAATTACACCCATAGAAAAAATTCTCAGATTTGAACCAGTAAGGTGAATCGTCAGTCTGGGATAACAGCCTCCCCCAAGCTATGAAGAGATTGTGTTCAAAACCATGTTTGCAAGATTCTCATTTGAAATAGGCATTTTCTAATACAATTACATTATGCGTGGTGATCAGCGTACTCAATCTAATCAGCCGAGAAAGAGCTATTTAATCCAGTATTTCCCAAAGCATGGCTCAGATCCTTGAGAGTATTCTAGAAAACTCATAGCGTTCTAAATACCCTTTGCTGTAGAGTCGATGCTGACTCCTAGCAACCCTATAGGACAAGGTAGAACTGCCCCCTAGTGTTTCCAAAGAGCGGCTGGTGGATTCCAACTGTGGACCTCTTGGTTAACAGCCGAGCTCTTAACCACTTAACTGCCAGGGCAGTGACCAAAACCCATTGCTGTTGAGTCGATTCCAACTCATAGTGACCCAATAGAACAAAGTAGAACTGCCCAATAGGGTTTCCAAGGAGTGGTTGTTGGATTCAAACTGCTGACCTGTTGGTTAGCGACTTGAGCACTTAACCATTGTGCCAGCAGGGCTCCACCAGGGCAATAGCTGAGATCTAAAGGGCATATGGGGTCCCTGGGTGGTACAAACAATTAAGCACTCAGCTACTAACCAGAAGTTTGGCAGTTGTAATCAACCTGGAGGTGCCTCAAAAGAAAGGCCTAATGATCTGCTTCCAAAAGATCTCACAGCCATTGAAAACCCTACGGTGCACAGTTCTACTGTGAAACACATGGGGTTGCATGAGTCAGAATCGACTCAAGGGCAACTGTTTTATTATTTTTTTAATTATATATATATTATTAAGGTAGGTGGTACATAAATATTAAAAGAATGACTGAAGATTGAGAACAGTTATTTAACTCATAATGGACCCAAAGTCAAGTGGGAAGTAAAATACAAGTATGACTGTATCTCTCCCTTGCTTTGAATCTATCAATGACTCCCTTTTGCCTTTAGATAAAAGCTAAAATTCTTCATGGTCTGATCTTGCTATTCCTTCTCACTCTCATTGCCTGCTCCTGCTCCTGCACTCAGTTACCATTCCTTAAATAACCACATTATTTCCTGATTTGTGCATTTGCACACGTATCTCACCACTTTTTCCCACTTGGCTGGCTGTTGTTCAACCTTCATCTCCAACCAGAGAGGTACCTCCTATGGAAATAAGCCCTCAGATGCTCCCCAAGCAGAATCAGTCACTTCATGCTCCCAGGGCCCTGAGCACAGACCTTCACGATTGCATGTAACCCTTCACAGTAATTATATGTTTGTATAACTTTTCTTCTGCAATTGGTGAGAGCATTCTTTGTGCCAAGAGCTAGATCTGATCCTGGGCATACAAAGAGGAACCAACATGGATCCCTTCTGTGGGCAAGCTCAGCTCTTAGTCTAAAGGGGTAAAGAACACAGGTCCTGGGTAGTAAGTGAGGCCATGGCGCCATGCACGGAATGTGCAGGGAGCACAGGGGGCCTGACCTTAGCTCACAGGAAGCAGAGGTGCTCCCCGCAAGTCTAGTTGGAGCCTTAAAGTATACATATGAACAAGTCAATTGAAGTAAGTGCCATTTTGCGAGCATTTGAAGCAAAGTGTGTATAGAGGCAACAAGGGAGTTAGGAATTTCGAGAAGAGAGCAGGCATTCACCCTGAACACCAAGGTGACAGGGTCAATGCACGTAGAACGTGTTTGATTTTTGTGTCTGCAGTCTATAACAAGTTGGCCAGCAATAATAATATCTTTGGAGATGAAGTGAGTAAATGAATGTGCAATTTAAAGAAAGGCTTTGAAGCATGAAAGTCACATAACCGTTTCAATACCCAATTATTTTCTGCTTTGAAATTTTTGTTGATACCCTGTGTTTTGATGAATGGAAGCATGCTGAATCATTGAGTGTATCTGAATTTTTAGTAGCTAGTATAGATTTTTTTCTTGTCCCCTCCCATAGTCCTACCCTCAGAGTACAGTGGTACATATGCGTACCCCTAATTCTACGCTCGGAGCCCAGACATACATATGTGTACCACTTAAAATTTTTTCAAAATCCATATTTTACCTAAAAAAATTAAAAAAATTGATTCAGTGGCACCTCATACAATACCTGTAAAAATAGTAATTTGCACACTTGACCATTTCTTTGGTTTCAAACATTCATAAAGGCCCTGCCTTGTGTCCGTGGAAAATGGGCTTCGCAATAAACCCCAGAGGCTGAAAAAGCAAGGGGTCGCTACATGCACCACAGCTAATGAAAGAGATAATGAGGCATTTTAAGAGAAATAACTGGTAAATGGGTGTGGAAGCTCTTGTGCATTTAAACACACACTATCATAATCATATTTATATCACTAGGGGATAGGATATAGTAGTAGTTCAATAAATATTTGTCCAACAATTGAGTGTGTTTTCCTGTACTAATACTCCTGTAAGCAGTCCCTGGCTGGTTCAGGTGGTTAATGTGCTCGGCTGCTAACCTAAAGGTTGGAATTTTGAATCTACTCAGAGACACCTTGGATGAAAGGCCTGGCAATCTACTTCCAAAAAAATTAGCCATTGAAAATCCTATGGAACACAGTTCTACTCTAACACACGTGAAGTCACCATGAGTCCGAGTTGAGCCGATTCAATGACAAAGTTGTAAGTAACCCTGTAGCCCCTAAACTTTGTGTATAATGATGTTTCTACGGCAGATCTTCTTCCAATTCCCAACTGAGAGTACCACTGTCCTCTCAGCTCACTGTAGTCAAAAGAAAAGAGATAAACAAGAAAAATAGCAAAATAATAATAATCTGTCATCTATGAGGAGCCCTGGTGGCACAGTAGTTAAGAGCTACAGCTGCTAACCAAAGGGTCGGCAGTTTGAATCCACCAGCCACTCCTTGGAAACTCTATGGGGCATTCTACTACCTGCTATAGGGTTGCTATGAGTCAGAATCAACTCTATGGAATGGGTATGCCTTTTTGTTTTTTTTTTTATCTATATGATTACCAAGTACTTTTCTCATATATTGTCTCATGATTGTCCAAAGAATTCTCTGATTTGGTTTGGGCAGATGTTATTTCTTCCATTTTATAAATGAGGAATCTGAGGCTCTGGAGTTTAAGTGTTTTGCCCCATATTACTGAGTTAGTAAGTGTCAGGACTGAGGATCAACCTAAATTTTTCTGGCTCTGAGTTTCGTGTTCTGACTGAAGAATTTCCCTTCCCACTCTGCCTGCTGACCGCAGGGAGCAAGGATTCCCCCACTCCAAGTCTCTGGTTTGGTTCTTGTGGCCCAAGAAGGAGTTTCTAGTATGCTGGTAAGGAGGCTGAGAGAGGGGCCAGGTCTGGTCAGAAAGGGATGGCTAAAGGTAAGAAGCAAGATAAGGCCAAAGCGGTGAGACCAGACAAGATTAAATAACTATCAGAGGATATCAAGAATCAAGATGCCTTCAAAAGAAGCTTAAGAGCACAGGAGGAAAATTCTGAGACAAAACTAGAAAACACAGTTGTTGTCATTGTTAGGAGCTGTCCAGTCGGTTCCGACTTATAGTGACCCTATGTACAACAGAACAAAACACTGCCCGGTCCTTTGCCATCCTCACAATTGTTGTTATGCTTGAGCCCATTGTTGCAGCTACTGTGTCAATCCATCTCATTGAGGGTCGTCCTCTTTTTTGCTGACTGTCTACTTTACCAAGCATGATGTCCTTCTCCAGGAACTTGTCCCTCCTGATAACACATACAAAGTATGTGAGATGTAATCTCACCATCCTTGCTTCTAAGGCGCATTCTGGCTGTACTTCTTCCAAGACAGATTTGTTCATTCTTCTGGCAGTCCATGGTATATTCAATATTCTTCACTAACACCACAATTCAAAGGCATCAATTCTCGTTCAGTCTTCCTTATTCATTGTTCAGCTTTCACATGCATATAAGGCGACTGAAAACACAATGGCTTGAGTCAGGCACACCTTAGTCCTCAAGCTGACATCTTTGCTTTTTGACACTTTAAAGAAGTCTTTTGCAGCAGATTTGCCCAATGCAGTATGTCATTTGATTTCCTGACTGCTGCTTCTATGGGCATGGAAACACAGTAGTAACATATGAAACATAGAATTTGCAGTAAAGATGTGTAATAAATCACTTGAGAAAGTAATGGAGAGAAGATAAGGAGCTGTAACAATGACCTCAGCTGAGGTCATAAACAGAGTGGGCTTGATTTTTTTCATAAACACTTAAATATGGCTTAATATGTATCATGAAGACTTTTAGGAGATGGAACTCAAAGGAAACATCAAAGAAACGAGAGAAGGGAGAAGCAATTTATGCCAAGAATGGTGGAGACGCGGTCACAAATGATCCCTGTAGGAAAGAAAGAGGCTAATGCAGCTTCATAGGAAACTCTTTGTTTTGCTCAGATTTCAGACTTGAACCAAATATAGAAAGAGTGTGAACTTGTATGAACAGCATCAATAAGTCCTAAAAAAAACTGAAGCATGCAAAACAAAACAAAACAAGAAAGACCAAGGACATTCACTACAAAGGATGTTAATGTATGTATGTATGAAGCAAAGTGAAGAACAAGGAAAAGTTATTGCTCGTACTTGGGGCATTTATTCTAATGTTGTTGTTAGTTGCTGTCAAGTCGATTCCGATTCATGGCAACCCCAGGTGTGAAAAGTGGGACTGGTCAGCAGGGTTTTCAAGGTTGTGATCATTTGGATATAGATCACCAGGCATGTCTTACAAAGAGTTTCTGGGTGGATTTGAATCGCCAACCTTTTGGCGAGTAGTCACGTGCTTGACCATTTGTGCCACCTAGGGACTCCTTTTATTATGATTCTGTACTATAATATTGTCAAGCTCCTGTACTACCAGGCACTGCTGCCACTCCAGGGAGCACTTTATGTTTTA